TGCGGGGGTGAGAAAAGCTGCTTTGCGTCTCCCGGGTCTGCTGGGGGGAGGGGGAAGAGGAGCCAGCAGACCAGGGAGACGCTGAGCAAAGCGGAGGAGGACTCGGGCGGGACCGCGGCGCTGAACTGGCTCCTCTCCCACTCCGCCCCCAGCAGACCAGGGAGACGCAGAGCAGCTTTTCTCGCTCCAGAGGACGCGGGCGGCGGGACTGGGCGTCCCGCCGCTCCCGTTGTCCGGGGCGAGAAAATCCCCGTTCATAACTGCGGATCCGACATAAGTCGGATCCGCGTAACTAGAGGACTGCCTGTACCTTTTGTTTTCTGTGTAGAGTGCCTTTAAATTACTAAGCACTTTCTCGGTGAACAGAATTCAGCAGCCATTTTATTCTCAGAACTCAGCGCAACAGTAAAAGAGACAAAACTGCATACTCGTGAATCCATAGGAAATGAAAGTCTATTGTAGTCCATGGCTACAGAACCCTTCCTCCCCTCTTTTCTTCTTCTTTTTAATTCACACTGGAAAGGCTTGAGCTTTCAGTTCTAGACATCCTCTTCTCAGTCCCCAGTGTGACAACAACAGTCTTTGCACTCATGAAAGCTTCACTTTTGTTCTCAATTCAAAATAAAGGTCATCCAGATTTGAAAAACATTTGTTCTTTGTGAAATATATCACAGGCAGGTACAGTTCATTCTGAGAGAAAAAACACCTTTCAACATGGGAACTAAAATGCTTTAGTTCTATTTTAATACCAACATAGCTTTTATATACTATTTGGGATTAGGAATTGGCTAGAAGAAATGTGTTCAAAACTCACACTGCTCATTAGAATTAATGAACTGTGAAAAAAATATTTTAAAAAGTGCATCAAGAAAATGAATTCTTCACAAGGTACACAGTGTATACCATTATAATATTTACTAGATGCAGGGTTTACTTCTATGCATCTGGGTAAACAGATACAATGTTTTTTCAGTTAAACTAACAGACCTTTTATTTCACCAAAAGTGAACACTGACGGAAAGTGTTTCAGATCTAATAAGGCCATCAGTCCGTTCAAACACATTTCATAACCTTTTATAGGTGCGTAAGAAATATTGTTTTCCCGTTACCAATAGTTTTTCAAAAATGCATAAACTTAAAATCCTTTACCAGATTTTATAAAACTCGGGGGTTTTATTGTCTCAGACTCAAGTTACAGTACTGAAGTAACTGACAAATTGACATCTTAAAACGTGACATGTCATGGGTAACAAGTCACAAGTAGAAATAACAGAATTCCTCTGAAGATCAAGTTTGTGAACACTTGTGGAGCAAAAACTGGTAACTGTACACCGAAGAGCAAGCAAGTTCACTTTTTGGAAAATGTAATGATCATAGAAAGAATTACAATAAATTAAAGTCATTGGGCCAAATGCACACTTGATACAAGTAGTCACAACTCCATTGAAACAAGTCAGCATAGTGGAGAGCACATAAGTTATTCTGTGAATGGTCCTAGGTCTTTTCACAATCGTAGTCATGTAGATCTCTGGGGATCCATGGGGCTAGAGAGCCAGAATGCTACTTTTGTGGAACGAAAATCCTTGCCTCCTGATGGAAAAATATGAAGGGAAAACACCTGGAAGTTTCCAACCCAAAGTCTCCTTTCTGTGAATATTTTCATGGGAGTAGATGATGATCATGCCTACTGAATTTGGGAGAGTAAAAAAATAATTACATGTGATAAATCAGTGATAGAATCATAAGATTGAAAAGGATCTTAAAAAGGTCTTCTAGTCCAGTCTTCTGCACTAAGGGCAGAACTAAGTATTATACAGAGCATCCCTGACAGGTGTTTGTCTAACCTGTTCTTAAAAATTTCCAGCAACAGAGATTCCATAACCTTGCTATGCAATTTATTCTAGTGCTTAACCACCCTGACAGTTAGGTAGTTTTTCCTAACATCCATGCTAAGCCATCCTTGCTAAAATTTAAGTTCTTTGCTTCTTGTCCTATCCTCTGAAATTAAAGAGAACATTTTTCTCCCTCCTCCTTGTAACAGTTCTCAAATACAGGCAGTCCCCGGGTTATGTACAAGATAGGGACTGTAGGTTTGTTCTTAAGTTGAATTTGTATGTAAGTCGGAACTGGTACATATTGTAGGGGAAACTCTAGCCAAACATTTCTCCCGAGCTCAGTTTTATTCTCCCACACCTCACTTCCCTCAGTCCTTTATTCTCAAGCTGAGGTGTCTGCTGAGAAGAGCCGCTCCGCGTCTCCCTGGTCTGCTGGGGGGGGAGGGAAGGGGGCGCTAGCTTCGCATCTCCCTGGTCTGCTGGAGGGAAG